TGGACTCTTCCCTGTAGCCTCTAAGAGAAACCTAGGCCTGCAAGCATCTTGATATTAGCCCTCTAGGGACCCATTTCCTGTTTCTGACTTCAGGAATTTTAAGAGCATGAATGTGATTCTTTTAAATGTCTCAAATGGTAATCTTACACTAGCATTAAACAGTGCATACACATTTGTCCAATGAAATTTTCTTCAGAAAACTGAGATCTAGTGTTTCAATTTATTTATTTAGCCTCTGAAAGACATTTTGAGTTGTAATCCTCCCTTAAGTAAAGTAAAGTAAATAAATAAATAAATAAATAAATAAATAAATAAATAAATAAATAAATAAATAAAATTAATAAGTTTGGAGATAATCAGCCACTTTTGCAGGTAGAGAATTTCTTATTGCATAAATGTAAATGTGCTCCCAATTTTGATGCATTAGAGGCATTAATATTAGAAAAGTAATTCATCATTTAAGTACATATCTACCATTGACTTAAAATCTTCATGTCTAAGTACCTACATCTTTTAAGTTATGTTAATTCAAAAACTCATTATTTTCATTTCTATCCTTTTCAAACTTCTCTTAAGTTTTCTTTAAACATAAAATATGTGTTTATAACTGAATCTGTTTGTGTACATATAAGTGGGTGGTTTTGTTTGAAACAAAAATGTGTATTAATAAGTACACACATACATAAACACTTTACCTTGGAACACTTTAGTTAGATTCAATAAAATATGGCCATATACTTCATTTATTGCTTGCAACATGCATCTGAAGTTGTGTTTATTATCCCTATGGTGAATGCTGCAAGCAATAAATGAGATATATGGCCATATTTCATTGGAAAATTAGTCTCAGGTAATTAAATGTTTAACAATTAGTATAAGAAGCCACTAAAGTTTATTGTGTACTTTCCTGACATATACAAATGGAAACATGAGCCCTAGCCAGTTTGGCTCAGTGGATAGAGCATCGGCCCAAGGACTGAAGGGTCCTAGGTTGATTCCAGTCAAGGGCATGTGCCTTGGTTGCAGACTTGATCTCCAGCCCTGGTTAGGGTGCAAGCAGGAGGCAACCAATTGATGTGGCTTTCTCACTTGGATTTTTTTTCTCTCTGTCTCTCTCTCCTCAACTGTCTCTAAAAATCAAAGGAAAAATATACTAATTTAAGGATAACAAAAAATAAAACAAAACATCAATTAAAAACATGAGACAGACTGCAATTTTTGAATGCCTTTATTCATCAAGTTGTAAATTTTAATCATATTCCAATTACATGATGTAATTATACTTATAAGAAACCTAGAAGGAAAAAAACCAGGATCTGGCATTCTGCTAGTGGGAGGAATCTCTTCTACCTGGGAAAAAAGCTAACTTTCATGGATCTAGGGATAGTAGAGTAAAATAAGGCAAATCACCCTGTGTACACTTTCTTTTCTTTAAAATAGAAGATAAAGGTAGATATAGAAACAGGGTAAACTGATGATATACTGTTTCTAGGGAGAATATCACCATGGACCCACACATCATGAATGAGACTTAAAACCACTTGTAGAGACTCACAACTGACTATAGATTCATAAAGAGACTAGTGGAGTTCAGAAAAGCTCCCCACCACACGATCACACTTGGTAATAATGGCATTATCCTACTTTTTAAAAGCTTAATATGCAAAGTAACTGACCTTTCATTTGACCAGTCGATATGATGCACACTAACCACCAGGGGGCAGATGCTCTGTCTAGTAGGTTGGCTTGTTGTTGGGGTCTGGCCAATTGGGATTGGGTGAGATGTGCCTGACAGACCCTGAAGCCCTCCTGGGTCCCTCTCCAGCCCCAATCATGCACTGGTGGGGTCCATTTGCCTGGCCTCTACTCTCTCACAATCCAGAACCCCCAGGGGATGTTGGAGAGCCGGTTTCTGCCCAATCCCCGCCAGTGCATGAATCAGTGCACAGCATCTCTAGTATCAAATAATTTGCTTGTAGGATGGCTTGTCATGCAACAATACCTTACTAATACAATAATCAAGGTAAGTAGTTATCTGTTGTTGATTATTGCCTGAACTAGGTTTTTTCCTAAATTATAAACTTTTAATTAACTGATAAATAATTGAACTTTGTAGCCTTATAAACAAATAATATGTCTCCCTTTTAAGGACACATGGAACATTGACAAAAGTCAGTTAACTTCTTAGTCACACATTTCAAAACATCAGAAGAAAAAATTAAAATATATTAGGTGTACTGGTTAATATGGCAGATTTTGTAATTATAGAAAACAATAATTTCAAGATAAAAATGAAAAGTGCTTTATTCAAAATAATGTCCCTCGCTAGCTACACATTTCCCTCATCTTTCAGATAATTTGTGGATACTGTACCAATAGAACTTCTCTTGTTTTGAGGCAAACCATTCAGAGACCCAATTTTCTACTTCTTCATATGTTTTAAGTGCTGCTCAGAAAGTGCATGTGCCATTGATCAGAACAAGTGATAATGTGAAGGAGCAAGGTCTGTTGAATAGATTGGGCAGGTTAATACTTCCTAGGGAAGATGCTTTAACATATCTTTAACTGGTTTTGAAGTGTGTAATGTGCGTTATCATGAAGCAAAAGTACTTTGGTATGCCTTTTGGCATATTCTTGTTGTTTTAAAATTAAAGAGTAGTTCAACTTGATTGTTTGTTGTCGGTAGCGATCAGTATTAACAGTTTCACCTGGTTTTAGAAGCTCATAATACACCACACCTTCCTGACCCCACCAAACACAGAGCTTTGTCTTCCTTCCAAAGTGATTTGGCTTTCGGTTGTTAATGGTTGACCTTGATCATTTGGTATTCTCAAATTAAATCCAGTTTTCATCGCCAGTCACAATTCAATGAAAAAAAGATAAAGAAGACTTGTTTCATGCCAATGAAGCTACATTTTACTAACGACTTTTTGGTTTTCCATTTGTCTTTTGTTCAATTGATGTGACACCCATTATCTTTCCTTTAAAATCTTTCCCATTGCTTGTAAACGATTGGAAATAGTTTGCTGAGCAACATTTAATCTTTCTGCAAGTTTACATGCATCAGCCATGTGAGCAAATCCAGGGGGCCTTCCAGATAAGGACATGGGAGCAGAGCTCATTTATTCCAGCCAAGCCCTGCCTAGATCAGTCACCATAGCTGAGCCCCTGATATTATACATTAGAAAGGTCAGCAGAGCCACCCCGGCTGACCCATAGTTTACTGCAGACTCATGAGGAGACCAGCAGAGATCAGAACATCTTCCCACTACACAAACCCATTGGAAAATAAAGGAATAATATGAAAATATTTACTTTTAGGGTGGTCTGTTATATGACAATAATAAATTGATACTATAATCAAAGCAAAAATAACTGAGATAGATTATAATAATCTGGTACTTCGTACTTTTGGCATTTGTACTGATATTTGAGGATAGCACTCACAATCATACTGTAACTCCAATACATTTTAGATAACTTTTTAAAAGTGCCTTCACTGAGGCTCCCTTCCAGGTAGTCAAGACAGAATGGAAGGACATGCATGTTTGTGCAAGAAAATCTACATATAACAGGGCAGGATTCTTCCTTTGACCATAAAGATTGAAAATATTGCTCTCACTGGTTTGCTTAAGTATATAGAGCATTGGCTTGGGGACTGAAGGGTTTTAGGTTCAATTCCAGTCAAGAAATGACAATGGATGGGGCTCAATCCCCAGTAGGAAGCATGCAGCAGGCAAGCAATTAATGATTCTCCCTCATTATTGATTTTCCTATAGCTCTCTCTCCCTCTCCCTTCCTCTCTGAAATCAGTAATATATATAATGTAAATATTTTTTTAAAAAAAAGATTGAAGTTATTCCTGAGTATAAAGATACTTATTGTGTGTTAGTGAGATGGATCACTCACTTTCCCTTTGGTGGATTTGAAAAAAATTTAGAAAATGGGAGATAGTGAATTTAGAACACTAGAAAGAGTCACATTAGTATGGAGCACATTCAAAGCTTTAAGGAGCCCTAGCTTGTATGGTTCAGTTTGTTAAGCATCATCCCATGCACAGCAAGGTTGCTGGTTCTATTCCCAGTTAGGGCACATTTCCAGGTTGTGGATTGGATCCCCAGTTGGAATGTATATGGGAGACAACTGATCAATAGTTCTCTCTCTCATATGGATGTTTCTCTCTTCTTCTCTCTCTGGCCTGCTCAATTTTTAAAATATCATATAGAAAGAAAGTTTTATAGCAAAACCAGTGAAATAGTTCAGAAAATTTTATAAAATATACCACATAATCTTTCACCCCAATGAATAAGGAGCCTTACACATGGACAGCATATTCCACACTTTTATTACAGACACAATTGCCATGAAAAACATTTTTGTATAGTGAAATATTGTATGGTGATTATTGCTTCATCACATTTAAGATCATCTCTGATTCTAACTGTATTAGACCAATCTATCTAGTAAAATGCGTATTTGTTTTAGACTCTTCTTGGAAACATGTGTTTGATAGTCAATATTTCCCAGTAGCTATGTTAGGCATGTGGACACAGAGATGAATAATAGAATGAAGAACATAAAACCAGAAGACCAACTATAAAACATACTAGCATGTCAAAGTCCACATTATCAAGAAGAGCAGTAAGGATGGTGCTGTAAAAAATAATGATGAACAAATAAGTGAATACCATGATCTCAGAGTTACCTCTAAAACAGAATTATGCAAATGACTTCAGTAGCCAAGTATAATTTTCTCCATAGGGGGAAAATTCATGACTATTCTCCCAGGAACACATTAGAAAAATTACTTGGAATGAAATACGTCATAAGATAACACATTAAGCAAAAGTAATTCATATTAATCTTTGAGGTAAAAGAGAATTTACAATGACATATGGTACAAATATTGGATTAATTTGTGTCAGAACTTCTGGCCCTGAGGATTTGAACCCTGCATTCCTGGGTAATTGTTCAGCCTAGCGCAGTTGGCCTTGAAGAGCTTACCTGCCAAGGAATCTTTCCAGGGCCCCTTTTAAGTCCTTGTTCCTGAGACTGTAGATGAAGGGGTTCAGCATGGGTGTGACCACAGTGTACATCACAGAGGCTATTGCACTTGAGTGTGTACTGTGGAAAGCAACAGAGCTGAGGTATCCACCTAGGAGCGTACCATAAAATAAGGAAACAACTGAGAGGTGAGATGCACAAGTAGAAAATGCTTTATACTTCCCCTGAGCAGATGAAATTCTATGTATGGAGGAAAGTATCTTACAGTAAGAGTAAAGGATCCCAGCAAGGGGACCAACACAAAAGATTGCACCTGTAAAATACATTATAATATTGTTAAGAAAGATGTCAGAACAGGCAAGTTGGACCATCTGATTGATTTCACAGAAAAAGTGGGGGATTTCCAAGTCTGAACAGAAGGACAGGTGCAACACCACTAAGGTATGTAGCAAGGAATTTAGGACACTAATGATCCAGGACAGCAGAACCAGCAGTCCACAGAGCCTCGGGTTCATGATGACCATGTAGTGCAGGGGGTGGCAGATGGCCACAAACCGGTCATAGGCCATCACAGTCAGGATTAAGTTGTCCAACCCAGCAAAAACTATGAAAAAATACATCTGTGTGATGCAGCCTTCATAGGTGATGGCTTTGCTCTGTGTCTGGAGGTTCCACAGCATCTTTGGGACGGTGGTGGAGGTGAAACAGATGTCTACCAAGGACAGGTTGCAGAGGAAGAAGTACATGGGCGTGTGGAGGTGAGAGTCTGAGCTGACAGCCAGGATGATGAGTAGGTTTCCCAACACAGTGATCAGGTACATGGAGAGAAATAGTCCAAATATGAGGGGCTGTAGTTCCAGTGCCTGTGAAAGCCCCAGAAGAAGAAATTCTGAAATGTGTGTAGCATTGCCTGGTTTCTTTTATTGAGGAATTTGACTATGAGAAAATAGAAAAAAATGAAAAGCTCATTTTCACTTTAGCAAGCATTGGTAAGTGAGAATACATGACATATTTATGTTTAGAATCAGGAAAATAATTTTCATTTCTGGTATGTGGTTTATTCCCCTTTGTGTTATCTCTATTGGCATTTCTCAATAGAGTTTTCTTTTCTACCAACAACTTGTTCTTTACACATTGTATATATTGTTGCTTTATTAAGATTATATTTCATGCATTTGAGGAATATATATTGATTATAGACCATGTTCTAGGCACTGTTCACAGCATGGGATGCTGCGGGAGGGAAATAAACCTCTACAAACTAATGCTGGAGAAAGAATGGGATGCTGCGGGAGGGAAATAAACCTCTACAAACTAATGCTGGAGAAAGAATATAATAATAATAATAATAATAATAATAATAATAATAAAGTAATATAACATAACCAGTGGTCATTTCCTCCCTGGCTGCTGAAGATCAACCTTCAACATGAATTACAAGGTATCCATCCGGACCAGGAAGTTCATGACCAACAGACTACTTCAGCGGAAGCAAATGATCATTGATGTCCTTCACCCTGGAAAGGCAACAGTACCCAAGATAGAAATTCGGGACAAACTAGCCAAAATGTATAAGACCACACCTGGTGTCATCTTTGTGTTTGGATTCAAAACCTACTTTGGTGGTGGCAAGACCACTGGCTTTAGCATGATTTATGATTCCTTGGATTACACAAAGAAAAATGAACACAAACACAGGCTTGCAAGACATGGCCTATATGAGAAGAAAAACCTCCAGAAAACAGAGAAAGGAATGCAAGAACAGAATGAAGAAAGTCAGGGCGACTGCAAAGGCCAATGTGGTGATGGCAAAAAGTGAGCTGGAGATTGAACAACAGAAGGAGTAAAGATTCTTTGGTAACTTAATTGGTGACGGTTGTGCATATTTTTCATGAGAGGAATAATAAACTATACACTTAAAAGAAAAGCATAACCAATAGTGAAGATGCTATTAAGAAAAGTAAATCACATTAAATGGAGAGAGTGGATAAAGGGTGCTTTTTTTGAAAGATTTTAGCCAAGACTTGCCAACAGGCGACACTTAACAGACACCTCCAAGAAGACTTACTGGGAGATTGAAGCTGAAGTGTTTGCCAGGTGTAGAGACAGCCAGTGCAAAGGCCCTGAGGAATATGATTGTTCAGAAAATCAGGGCTCAAAATGAGCCAGAGTGTCAAGGGGAATGAGCACAGCAAAACAGAGATGATATCAGAGGATATTAAGGAAAAAAAGGTAGTTTGCATGTTGCTCTTGTAACTTCAAGTCATGAAGAGTGCCTTGTGCACACTATGTAAATCTTGCACTTTAGTAATCTGGTTGCAAAAGCATCTTGTTAATTGAAAAGGATCCCATCCTTAGTATCTCCTCATATTAGAGTCACGTTGGAATCTATGAGATCAGGCACCTCTGCTATCAGTTTACAAGGCGTGCACACACACACACACACACACACACACACAAACACACACTCAACAGAACACCATGGCCTCTTCATCTTTGTTATTTCCATGTGCTTCTCACTCCCATACTATTGAGGCTACGAGAAGATACCAGTCAAAGTGTCCAGGTCAAGAAGCTTTTCCAAAAAGAATTTAACAATAGAATTTAGATATTCTTATTGTAAGAATGGACTAACAAGCTTGGAGTTTCATACTGCTATGTTCATTTTCTGTCCTGTGGTTAAAGAAATATACAATAATTAAATAAACAGAGAGGGAGAGAGAGCAAAAACTGGATATTAGGAAGAAGAGATTTCATTTGCTCAGGTGGTCCCTGAGAGACAATGGGGAAGAAAAATCTTCTTTGGATTCTGACTGCTTTCCATCCCTAATTATATTCCCTTCAAAGCTAAGCAACAATAACAGAAGAGAAAAAATAAATTTATATAAAATACAGAGGTATTTATAGATATACTAGGGGTCTGGTGCATGAAATCGTGCACGGGGGAGAAGGGGGTAGAGAGGATCCCTCAGACCAGCCTGTACCCTCTCATAGTCTGGGAGCCCTTGGGGGATGCCCACTTAGCCAGCTGCCACAGAGGCAGAAGAGGCTCACCCCACTACTGCTATGCTCACAAGCCATGAACCTGGCTTCTGGCTAGCGGAGCTCCCCACTGGGAGCCCACTGTCCACTTGGGGAAAGCTCCTGCGTTGAGCTTCTGACCCCTGGTGGTCAGTGCATATCATAGCGAGTGGTTGAGCAACCTTAGCATATCATTAGCATATTATTCTTTGATTGGTTGAATGGCTGACCCAATGACTAGACACTTAGCATATTAGGCTTTTATTATATAGGATGATGTAACTACCATAAGTGAAAACAAACAAAATAAACCTGCTGAAACCGGTTTGGCTCAGTGGATAAAGCTTTGGACTGCGGACTGAAAGGTCCCAGGTTCAATTCTGGTCAAGGGTATGTACCTTGGTTGTGGGCACATCCCCAGTAGGGGGTGTGCAAGAGGCAGCTGATCGATGATTCTCTCTCATTGATGGTTCTAACTCTCTATCCTTCTCTTTTCCTTTCTGTAAAAAAAATCAATAAAATATATTTATAAATAAATAAATAAAAATAAACCAATAACTCACAAAAGGAAATATATAAAAACAACACTATTTGAATATTTTAAACATCAAACAGTAGAAGACCGTTTTTTGTCTGTGCCTCTTCTATACTTATTTGATTAGTTGGTTTTTATATGATTGATGGTGGATGAGAGAAGCCCCTTTCTCGCTTTTGTTATATGGAATTATTGTTTATTTTGGACTTTGAGTTTTGACCTCATTTTTGACAAATCAATGGACACAGTCTAATTCTGATTCTGGTCTTCATCCAATGTGAAAAAGGACATGATCAATTAATCCTCCACAAGACATGAGGGGCCATCCTTCTACACTGAGTAACTTTCTTCATATGGTTTAATCCTGACCACATTGTCATGCAAATATTTTTATTGTACTCTGAGTTCACCATCACAGTGCCAGATCCAGACAAGTATGGCTTCACCTCTTTTGTTCATCTTTTTATTTTCACAAATGTGTGTGCATATAAGTGCACTTTCATAGGCAAATCTTTAAGTAAATGTGAAATTGTGAAATGAAAGGCATGATAGGGAGAATGAAACCTGGTTACACAGAGCAAATTCCAAGCAACTATATTAAATAAAATTAAATGAGCATCAAAAACTAACCAAAATAAGATGTAATAAATAGCAATAATTTAGGGTTAGTAACTTGTATTAATAATCAAATTGGCAATGGCATAGACATAGAAAATAATCAATAATGTTTCTAGAAATTGTGGCAAACAGCAGATGCTCCATAATTATTTCTTGACTGAGTTAGGAATTAGGTCTCAATATATAAGTGCACTGAACCCATGAAAAGTCTACATTTGAATGTATTTGTAAACATTGAGTTGTTTAATAAAAGCTGGGAATGTGTCATCCTGGAAGGAAATGAAGTTGTTCCCCTCTCCCAGTAACATTACAAAAAGTCAGAGGGATTGCCAACTCACTGTTAAGTATAACAAATCCTTTTCATATGAAATGATAAAAAACTGCATATTAATATGTATGAGTGGACCAAACCATCATAATTCAGGTGAATTAGAAGTAATGAGACAGACATATATAACTAAATAAAATGTAACACATTTTGATTGCTGTAACATCCCCCAAAGTCAATTAAGAAATAATGATTTATATTTATTTTTATTTTTAAATTTCATAGAATTCATTTGGATAACATTAGTTAGCAAAATCAGGTAGCATTCAAGTAGACAATTCTATTAAACTTTATATGTATATTGTATTGTGTGTTTAGCAACCCAAGTCAAGTCTCCTCCCATCACCATTTATCTTTGTTACCCTCTTCATCCTGCTCTACCATAATATGTTTAGAAATCATGTAAAAGGCTAAATATGAAAAACCACGAGGCATAGAAAATAGTATTAAAATTAGCAAGGCCATCAAATATATGAATCTTTGATGAAACTCAGAAAAATTTTCAGAAAAAAAATTATTTCACTTCTCTCAGCCTGAGAAAACTTGAAAAAGGTGTTGCACTGATGAGGGTTGGAACTTGCAAACAGGTAGTAAAGGGTACTGTATTTTCTTTCTGGCAGAACAGTAAAGTGTAATAACATTGTGAAACCAATCTGCAGACAGCTATAAATATTACAAGTACATATGTTCTTTCAGCCATGGTTTATCAATCTCTGCACTATTGACATTCTGGGCCAGATCATTGTCTGTGGTGTGGTCTCTCCTGTGCATCCCTGGACTCTACTTACACCTTCCATATGTGAATGAAAAGAGCCACAAACTAACCTGACAAGCTCAGGGGAGGACTGCGTGGCAGTCTTGCAAACTCAGAGACCTAAAATAACCGCAAAAGATGGTTTGAAAATTACATATCTAACTACAAACAGGTTATAGTGGGTAGTCATGTCCTAGACCGATATTTCACCTGACAAAGATCAACTTAGATTTTCTTTACTGAGCCCATCTGCCTTTTTGCCTCTAAGATAACATATCTGTGAGATGTCTGGGTAACTTGTAATTTCGTTTTTACCCCAGACCCCTCAGGGCACAACAAATGGCCTCAAGACATTCCCTCATTGTTATTATTATCAAGTTAATTGTCAACTGTTAATTACCTTAGAGCATCCTGTATCCATCTCTGTAAAAGAAGCTCCTGTCCATAATTTCACCTTTTACCCTATCCCAGAGGTTTCCCCACTTTGCTCTGTCCCACCTCCATAATCTCACCAATGAATTTCATGTAACTCACCTATGTCCCTTTCCTTTGATTGCAATGTATAAATATAGATGTAACCCTGTATTCTCCGGAGCATTATCTCAATCCTTTGAGGTTCTGCTTCCTGGCACATGTTGACAGTTTGGCTCAAATAAACTCACAAAAATTCTTTGCAGGTTTCAATGGTTTTTTCCCATTAACACATATGACTAACAAACATGTCTCTGGGCATTGCTCAATCAATGTCCCCTGGGGGGTGTGGGGGGGAAATACTGGCTAGCCATAAAAGAACCATGAATTTTAATGTAATGATTCAAAATATTTTTAAATATAATTGTTATAATATCAACTCATTGAAACTGTATAGGAAAGGCTTTCAAGTGTGAATAACACAGCCACATCATAAAATATTTTGTACACATGGTAATAATGAATTGGCATCATACTAGTTGATTGGATGAAAGATCATGAGGAAGAGTGGACACTTACATAAAAACACACTGTACAACATAAAAAGATTTTCGGATGGGCACAGGATGCTATTTATGCATTTGTACAAATGCATATGAGTGTAAATGATGCATAACACAGAAGGAAGTTTTTTAAACATAAAAATAAAGATTATCAAAGGAGTGAAATTAGGTTAAGTAAAATGGTTACAAAAGAACAAAATTAAGTGAGAATTGAATTAATATATAGAAACAAATGATAATAATAACATTAACAGATTAAATTTCTAATAACTTTGAAATAAAAGAACAGTACAGAATGGCTTTTTAAAAATATTTTTATTGTTTATTATAGAGATGAAGGAAGAGGGAGAGACAGATAAAAACATCAATGATGAGATTGAATCATTGATTGGCTGCCCCCTCTGATACCCCCTACCAGGGATCAAGCATGCAACCTGAACTGACCAGCAATTGAATTGGGACCTCCCGGTTCACAGGTTGATGTTCAACCACTGAGCCGTGTGGACAAAGCTAGAATGAATTTTAAATTTGGAGGAAAGCAGTATCAAAACTATATTTTCTTCTTATATAAAGACCTTGGAGAGAATAACTGAGTGACAGATCTGAGCCCACACTATTAAAAACATTCAAATGTGCTAAGGGGAGGTAAAGGTAATCTTTAGTAAACAAAAAAAAGAGAATGGCTTCCAGAGGACTGTAAAAGGTGATGCATAGTTTGTAAATAGAGCGAACAACAAAAAGCCAAAAAGAACAATAAGATATAAATGGAGATGCGAAACTAGTTGGCAGTGTGGGCACAGGGTCTTTACTAGCCCTACGTACACAGAAGAACATTCACTTTGATTTTTGTTGATACTAAAGATTCACAAGTGAAGAATATAAAAGTAACAGCTGACTGTTTTTCAGTGAGAAAGGTAAAAATTAAAAAGCAATGGAGAGAATAACTGAGTGACAGATCTGAGCCCACACTATTAAAAACATTCACAATTGCCCATGAAGGTAGTCGATGACAAGCAACAAAGTGAGTGAAACCACCAATTTAGAAGAATGCAATAACAAACGGTAATAAAAATATTCTGATACCGCTACACAAATGTCAAGACTTGTACAGACAACTTACAAGAGAGAAAACAAATGGATAACTAACCCACAAATATACTCAGGTCACAGAAACGAAATAATTACAAAGTTAAGCTATTTAGCATACCTGTTTTTATTTACCAAATATATTCTTTTTCATGTGAATTGAATATCAGAGTGGAAGAAGATCCTGTGAAATGTATGTCTCATGAACTACTTTTTTGCAAGACATATATTGGACCTAGATCTTTCTCATCAATGGAAACGTAATCAAATAGATGCCATGATAATAATAAAGAACTGCCCTGACTTCACTGGACATCCCTCCATACATAGTAACTATTCTATTTTCCTACTCTCTTTAGTTGCAAAACTCAGTATCCACATTCTACTTTTACTTGAATTCCTTTATGCCTCACATTTACAGCATAATTGGTCCTCCATCAGTCAATTGTCAGCAATTAGTTCAATGTTCACATCGTTTAGCATCAAAAATTAGTTATTAATTCCTTAATCAGGTAAATAAACAACCACAGGCTTATGCCTGTCAAGAGATCTCCGGTACATGTGCTCCGCTTTGACTCTCTCTGACCCTTTTCTGTAGTACCTACTGGACCTTTGGACTCACCTGTTTGGGAACTCTGAGGGAAAGTTGTCCATGGGGAAGTCAAACCTTCCAGATTGCTGATGAGGAAGACTGAAGCTCTCTGCCCAGACAAGGCAGCAGAAAGGAGGCAAGCACAGGTCTCCTAGAAAAACTAAAAGCAACAACCAGGTCCCATCCCGCCCAAGCTGAGAGACTGGAGATGAGACATATTTACAGCTCCTAATGTCTGCTCATTATGTGCATTTCTGTCTTGATCCTCCAACTTCTAATCACTTGATTTTTCTGTGGGTCTGGACAGAAGGAAATGTTTTCCTGAAGAGTCTGTGTTCCCAAATGACCAGCTTTAGAAGTCAAGTGAGTCCAGTTTTTATTAGTTATTACCCATTACATTTGTTGGGTTTCAGAGAACTAATATTCCAGCACCTATCTCAACCCTGATTTAAAATTTTTCCATATTCAAGATTGAAAATGTATGGATTAGAAAATTTGAATCTCCAATAGTGACTTTTTATAGGGACACAGCCCCTAATATCTACAAACAAATGATACTTTTATTTTCAACAAAGGGGGGAACTAAGTTCCTTTGATATGAATTTTGTGTGTTACTCACTGGACTTCATGACACATTAGCCAAAAGAATTTGGCATTTCTTCCTTATATCACAAGTTAAGAGCTGTCATTTAGTCCTGTCACTATGAAATATTTGTTTATTATAGGAAACATTTTGATTATTTTACATGCTAATCTAAGCTTGGAGTAGGAAAGAAAATAGACTCTTCCCTGAAGCCTCCAGAAAAACCCTAGCCCTGCAAACATCTTGATTTTAGCCCACTGAAACCCATTTTCTGTTTCTTAGAAATTGTAAAACCATGAATGTGTTTTATTTATTTATTTATTTATTTATTTATTTATTTATTTATATATTTAAATTTCTGTTTTGATTAAGGTATCACATATTTGTCCTCAACCCCCTCCCCTTCCAATCCCTAACCCCCCCCCCCCCCCCACTTTAGTCTTTAGGAACAAAAGGAAAATTCTTGCGGTTTAAACCTTTGAAAGTAATTGTTTACCCCTGAAACGGGGCAGTCCTGTGGAGACTACCTGCGTGTAGTGCTCTCGCGGCTGTCCTGGCCAGTTTTTATTTCAATAAATCTTTGCCTGTTTTTTTTAAAATTAATTAATCAGCCTTTGGTGGTCTTATTTTGAACCCAGGTTTCGACCCCACAACAATCAGAACCAGCAATCCACAGAGCCTAGGGTTCATGATGACCATGCAGTGCAGGTGTTGGCAGATATCCGTAAAATGGTCATAGGCCATCACAGTGAGGATAAAACATCCAACCCAGCAAAAAGTATGACAAAATACATCTGAGTAATGCAGGCTTCATAGGTGATGACTTTGCTCTGTGTCTGAATGTTCCACAGCATCTTTGGGATGGTGGTAGAGGTGAAACAGATTTCTAGCAAGGACAGGTTGGAGAGGAAGAAGTACATGGAACAGTAGTTAGCATAATATATACAGGAGGTTGGACACCTTCAGCAGCTCTGAAGATCTGCATATGATTGTCTGCTGCCAGACAGCTGAAGGTAGTTTCCCCCAACCTGATGGTCCTTTATTGTTTATGAGGCCTTACCTTTGATATGTATATCTGCTTTGCTAGAGGGCAAAATGTTTGAATAAAAAACCCTGCATGTGGGGATTTGAGTAGCTTTAGTTACTAGAATTAAGTTTTTCTTTAGCCTTCCAAATTTATATTTCTTGTCTAGGCTCTTTAATCCATTTATGCCCCTTTCCCAGATTTCTTGAACCCTAGTAGATGCTGAGAATGATGCCAGCACATGGGTGTATGGAGGTGGAAGTCTGAGCTGATGGACAGGATGATGAACAGGTTTCTCAATACAGAGATCAGGAACATGGAGAGGAAAAGCCCAAATCTGAGGGGCTGCAGTTCTCATTTCTCTAAAAATCCCAGAAGAACATTCATGGGTTCCATGTGGTGCAGGTGACAACCAGGAAAGGTGAAAATAACGTGACTAATTTTCACAGAGTTGCATTCCTCACATATTTAAAATGTTATAATTCACAGTTTACAACCAGGAATTAATTTTATATAGTATTGTGTGTATGGCTATGGTCCCTTTTAGGAGATATCCAGTGCTACTGCTGATGTTCAATATTTGTCCCAATTACCCATGTATCTGAAGGGTTCTTGTATTGTACAGTTTTAATGAGAATTTCTTCATGTTTCTCAGGAATGTAAATTGAGTGCTGACCATGTGTAGGCACTGTCCAGGCTGTGAGAATGGGGTGTGAATAACTAAAGTCTTTACATTGCAATTAGGAGAAATAATGCAGAAGCAAATAATAAAATAATAAATTATTATTATTTTTATATATATTTTATCGATTTTTTACATAGAGGAAGAGAGATGAATAGAGAGTTAGAAACATTGATGTGAAAGAAACATTGATCAGCTGCCTCTTGCACACCCCCTACTGGGGATGTGCCTGCAACCAAGGCACATGCCCTTGCCTGGAATTGAACCTGGGACCTTTCAGTTCATAGGCCGACACTCTATCCACTGAGCCAAAAACGGTTTTGGCTAATAAATTATTTCATATGATGCCCTGTGGTATGAGGAAAAGGACAGCACCTCTAAATGAAAAAGTGGATAGAGAGTACCATTTTTTCATGGGTATGTACATAGATCTGTTAGCAAGGTGACATTTATTTATTTTAATATATTTTATTGATTTTTTTTTTTACAGAGAGGAAGGGAGATGGATATAGAGTTAGAAATATCGATGAAAGAGAAACATTGATCAGCTGTCTCTTGCACAACCCCCACTGTGGATGTGCCCACAACCAAAGTACATGTCCTTGACCAGAATCGAACCTGGGACCTTTCAGTCCGCAGACCGATGATGCTCTATCCACTGAGCCAAACTGGTTTTGGCTATTGCAATTTATTTCTAATATTATGCCTTTGTGGTCTGAGAAAATGCTTGATATGATTTCATTCTTCTTGAATATGGAGAGACTTTGCCTATGACCTAATATGTATAACACTGTATTCTAACAATAATATCAATCTGCCTTTTGGTTGATTTTTTTATGGTCATCTTTTTGTCTTCCCAAATAAATAGTAGTTGCCTTAAATATATGGATTCTATATGATAATTCCTCATATATCTAGCCTTCAATGTATTATTTTGCATATAGAACGACTTTAAAATATTAAATAAAGAAAAATTAAGTAAGATAAAAAGAAAGATAATAGAACTTATAAAAGACTTTCAATATGCTACCCAGTTTGATTCAGCCTAATAAGGTCTTATTGCTTTTCTTTTTTTTATCAGTGAAAATATAAAAGATAAAAAAGACTGAGTTATTCTCTGGAATTCAAGTCTATACTTAATGGCTAATACTATTCATTTGGCTCTTGAATCTTTGATGATGGGGGGAGGGGCATGATATGGAGGATTCTAGGGCATTTCTACCAATCTCTGAGTATTATTATCACATGATATAAGTGACTTTAAAATGAAGACTTTCTTTTTAATGAATTGGGAGAATGGTACCGTGTTTCCCCAAAAATAAGACATCCTCCGAAAATAAAACCTACTTACAGGTTTCCTTCTGAGTGAAATATAAGGCATCCCCCTGAAAATAAGGCCGCCTCTAGGCTAAACATGAGAGATTTGGTTCACTGATTCTGAAAGAAATGTAGTCACAAGAAATTCACCAGGAAATTCAGGAATTGGATTGTTATGATGATGTTCCAGAAGATGATGACATGATTGTCATTGAATAAATGAGTAAATTCTTGATACTGTAGGATTCACAGTTTGTCTGGTTTGACAACTATGGTACTACCGTACCGTATACAGGTAATAAATTTCCTTTATTTCCATTTAACAATAAATGTGTACCGTATTCTTCTTCATGGAAAAATAAGACATCCCCTGAAAATAAGACCTAGCTCATATTTGGGAGCAAAAATTAATATGAGACACTGCCTTATTTTCGGGAAAACAGGGTAGTAAAATAAAATTGGAGTATGATAAATATATTTGGGTTTTAATCCTGGTTTTTCAAGTAAGTAGCCTTTAGAAATTTGTCAAGTTATTTCATTTCTTTGGGCCTCAGTTTCCTTATTTTTTAAGTGTGATAACTTCTAATGACTCACTCATAATTCAAATATGTTTGCATTTTCATCAAATACATTTATTTTTTCATCAAATACATTTTTTCCTTATTTGAACTTAATGTAAACATCACCAAAGTTAATAAATCCATGTAGGCTGTGTTTCCTTGGGCCAATCACTTCTCTGAGCTATAGTTTCCTTACCAGTAAAACGGAGGCACTGAGACCATATCTACCAAATATTATTTTCTGTACCTCCAACATTTCTCAGTGTTCTGCAAATACTTAGCATGTCTTCCTCATACAATCATCAGGCTGTCACTATTCTTCATGTCCTCACACACACATGAACGACGATATTGACTATTTCTCCAAGATCCACAACTCAGAAGTGCCAGCACCTGAACCCAAGCAGCAGCCCCAGCATTTGTGCTGTCAAAAGGCACAAATCTATCCTGGTGGTGTGGTAAAAGTTAAATTAGGTATTAAGTATTACTATGTAGAAGGTGCGCAGGGTTTAGGGCTCAGTAGATGTTAGCTCTGGAGAACCACACATAATTCCTCTCTCTGTTTTGAAAGAGCAAAGTGCCACTGTTATTAATTAAATCAGAATAACAGGTGGAACCTAGGACTCCTTCAGGCAAAATGGATTACAGACTCTGAGCTGTAATTATTGTTCCAGATTGCAAATGCCCCGAGAAGAGAGCCTTTGTCTCTTCACACATTGTTCCCATAAAGGTGGATGATGGTGATTCCTTCTAGAAGGTGAATGTGAGGCATAAACAACTGAGAGGAGAATGATTGAAGCTTCTTTCCAGCCTCTTAACCTGCATCTAGGAGACTGAGACTGGAAAGGTGCTGGTAATACCCGAGACTCTAATAAGGTAACATTTTAAAACCCCCACAATAGTGAATCAAATAAAAGATAACTTGATTGCCGAGACCGGTTTGGCTCAATGGATAGAGCGTCGGCTTGGGGACTGAAGGGTCCCGGGTTCGATTCTGGTCAAGGGCATGTACCTTGGTTGCGGGCATATCCCCAGTAGGGGGTGTGCAAGAGGCAGCTGATCGATGACTCTCTCTCATCGATGTTTCTAACTCTCTATCTCTCTCCCTTCCTCTCTGTACAAAATCAATAAAATATATATATTTTTTAAAAAAGATAACTTGATTAGTTTTAATGTATTAATTTATCAGGGTACCCTTCCCAAGGGTACTGGAGAATGAATAATATTGAACATCATTAAATCTCTCATTTTATGAGATCCACACACAATTTAGATAATATTTGTGGTCAAAATAAAATTTGGATACAATAATTATATGAGTACAATATGATGGAGGAAGCAGGTCTAAAAATTCCAGTTGTTCTAGAGGCTATTGATGTTTCTAGAATCTTCTAGATGTTTCTGAGCAGAGTAGAAGGGCATGTGCATGTAGAAATGCCTCAGAGTCAGAGGACTCCAAGTTCAAGTCAAAGTTTTAGCTCCTACCCTCTAGGATAATCACTCTACATCCTTATTGTCCTTGGGTGAAAATCAGGATACTGCTTGCCTTATCTCACCTTTGTAGGATGGTAAAAGAATCACATAAAGTCATTTAAATACATTCTTTCAATGATTAAACATTTATTATGTACCTGTGATGTGGCACTAGGGATGCAAAGCAGTGGGGGAGAGAGAGACAAAGAAACCTATAATGGAATATGTTGAGAGTGATGATAGAAATATGCCTGAGGAACTGGTAGATTTTACAGATGGTCCATGGACCCCTGGTGGTCCATGAGATCTGAAAGGTTGGTGACCACTGAACTATGTCATAGTCTACCTTGAACTCTATGCAGGTGAACTTGACCCTGAGTTTAGCACCTCAGATGTCCTATTCACTTGTCTAAATGGAAATGTTGATTTAAAACACTGTTTCTTAGATAGAAAGCCTGGATCTTTGCTCAGAATATTAACGGCAAGAATTTATAGCAAGGTGCCAATATAAGAAGGCCATTTTTACACACTCTCCTAGGTGTTAAAATAGGTATTAATGAATAACCGATTTTATTTTTGTCCCATTTGCTGAAATTTTTCTCCTGGGTAACACTGAAGGTCTATAGGAACAGCCCTGGTCACTCTTTCCTGTTAAGAACTACCAATTTACTTCACTTCAGTTATCAAAGTGTAAATCATAGCTCCCAGTTACTTCCAATCCTCGCTCCTTTTAAGTTGACCTAGCACACATGAAATTTCAGCTGCTGTCCCCTGGAATTATGCAAGCAGAGAACTTGAAAGCTGTGAATACATAAGAACACTTTTCTAACTTACTCTATTTAGTCTGCACCAGAATGGGGAGGTAAACAAATAAAGGAAATGAATGGGTACCTTCAGGCACTCGGGCTTCTCGAACATGCTGCAGTAGTGCAGGGCTGTGTTCCCCAGGGCCGTCTGCTTGTCCAGGTTCCCACAGTTTTGGACAAGGAAGTCAACCACATGGAGAGATGTCTGGTCTGCAGTCCGGACTGCAAGATGCAGGGCGGTCTCCCCGAGCTCCTGCCCGGGCTCCAGCAGTGGCTCCATGAGCTCCACGCCTTCCGCGTAGCCCTCACCAGTGCAAGCAGGTCCCGCGACCGCACGGCCTCCATCAGTTCGTTCAGCTTAGCCGACGGAGAGGAACAGGTCTTCCTCGAAAACCGATGCTCCACGTACTTCGCCGTGATGTACTCCTTCCGCGCAGTCATGTCGCTCATCGGGGTAGGCTTCGGTGAGGGGCTGGGTACATTTGCTTCCATGATGTTATTGAAGCTGTTGTTCCCAATGGTCTTGGCCAGCAAGCGTTCAGATGTTCCCAGCTTGTCTAGTTCCAGAGACTGAATGCGGGAAATATGGACCCCCATTTCTCTGTGTATTCCCGAACATTCGATGCATGTCAAAATCCCCAAGTTGGTAGAAAGCCAGGTGGGTTTTGAGGAGCCGCAGTCACAGCAGACGTCGTTGCCAGGCAGCCACTGGACGTCCTCGATGATGGCTTTGGTCAGGTCCTCCAGGCTGTTCTCGCCCGTGCTCTGCTCGCCGCGGAAGGCCATGGTCAGGGCCTCCTCTTTGCTGTTTGTCAGCACTGAGATCCATGCTACGTAGTCCTGCTCATCTTCTGCCCGGAAGTGATAGGACCTATTAGGTGAGATAAGGTCAAAAGACTTCTTGTCCTTGGCATTCGGCTTCACCTGGCAGGTGAGGAGGTTCAACTTGGCTGGTTGCCTGTTAGCCCTGGCGTGGGAGATGGTCAGCATCCCGTCCTTGACCGCGCACTTCCTCCTCTGCCACACTTTGCGGATCCCGTCACTTTTCTTCAGCAGGTTCCCCTTCTTCTCGCTGCCATACTCCTTGTTGCCCTGGAGCTGGTGCATGCTGTACCCCCCTGGCGGCTCTGGGGATCTTCTTTCTGATCCAGCTGGAGAGAGGACTTTATTAAGTCCCTGAGGGCGGTCAGCTGTTTCTTTTCTTCATCCTGCGTCTGTTTTGTGTTATATATTATATATCAGCAGCCAGGTTTTCAATGTACTGTTTCAATTTGTCAGCTGTTCTCAAGCCATCTTGAAAGAAATTGCACTGGGCGTGGTAGTACTTGATGAGATTCTGAAGCAGGTCCACGCCCTTTTTGGTCTTGATGTTGTTGACTTGGAGGAGATATTCGCACAACTGCAGCTGGAAGAGGCGCCGCTCCTTCTCTGTCTGCTCCGCGATCTCCGCCCCCGTGATCTCCGTGCGCATCATCCCGTGCTGCTTCGCAAGCTCTCTCTTCTCACTTTTCCTGAACTTTGTCTCATAATCTTTCCAAGCTTTGTCGAATGGCTTCTTGAGATCTCCTTGGACTCCCTTGAGGTCTCCGTTCAGCAGGGAGTCCAAGGTGAAGATCACGTTCTGGCTCAGCCCCTGGAGCAGAGTTCTCAGCAGGGTGGACAGCTCCTTTGTGAGCGTGGAAAATTGGACGAACGCAGTGCCAAGGTCCGGGTTGTCTCCACTTAAAAAATTACTCCCGAACTTGTCCAGAAGTTGGGCATAGTTTTCTTCATTTTGTACATGGTCCTGACCAGAGTTGTAGATGGCTTTCACAGACTTGTTCACCTTCTGTAAAGCTGTTCTATCTTGGTCTAGCGCCTCCCCCAGCAGCGCCACGGTGTTCCCGCAGTCGTGCAGCCGCGCGGTGAAGCGGGAAGTAGTGGGCGAGTTGTAGTCCGCGGTGGTCTCGGCGATGAACTCGGACACGGAGATCTGGTTCGGCATGCGATTCCCTACTGTGTCTTTCGAAAAACTGGAGAGCCGGCTCATGTTTCAGGTGTCGCACGCACCAGAAGACGACCTGTGAACTCACAGTGGTCAGCCGGCGTCTCTGAGATTCTTAGGAAAATATGCTTTCCCTGAAGGCAGGACAGGGCTCCTTCCTTCTGAGGAAAACCACAATCTTTTCTATTCCAAAGTGGCTTGTCTACAAGATGTGCAGTGACACCTGCTCCGAAGACAAGACCGTTCAACGGAAAGGCCGTTGGCTCCTGAAAGCCTCAGGCTCCAGCGCCCCCGGCTTCCGGGACAGTTGTGTTTCCGGGGAGACACAACCCACAGAGCACCCGCGTCCTGCTGCTCTGTTACAACAGTAACAGGAGGGAAAGGGGGACCCCATGGCAAAACCAAAGGCCACAGCTCCCAAAGGAAAGTGGGAGAGGGAGTTGAGAGGGAGGAAGGGAGGAGGAGAAAAGGGGAAGGAAGAGAGGGTGGGAAGCAATAGTAAAATTCTTAGTATAAATTTTACTACCTATTATAATATAGTCACCAAGATTATTTGTTACAAGTTAAAAATGAACACCAAAAGCATTTTCTTCAATAATACTGATACATGTTCCTTGTTTAATGTTGACTTTTCAAAATAGCAAGCTTTCTTTCTCTTAAAGACTAATAAAAATCATGCTAATATGTACATGCCAACTTTCTTTGCTGCCCTTAGAATAAGATTTCAAGTTGTCAAAGCTATTACTTTAAAAGCACTTCAAGATTCTCAAATTAGGAGATGGTGAAATGTCAGATTGTAAAAATGGAGACCGAGGACCAAGAAATGTTCTGCACAATTCCAAATCATGGAATTAAAAATGCCAGAAAGTTTCATCAAATTTCTAATCGCCAAGGGCATCTTGATTAAAAGTAAGAATATCAGTCATTCGCACAACTTACTGTTCTCCTCCTGGTCAGGTTTACTCCTCAGCTCAATTATTTACAACACACACACACACACACACACACACACACACACTCCTTTCCTGGTTAGCCAAGCATCATACAAACACACAATCCCATGTGAGAGGAATGAGAGTCCTGTGCAGGCCTGAGGTTCACATCTGCTTCGGAGCCACCACCAGGACACATAGATGGCGGGCACTTTCCTCGGGAGTAACTCTAATGGGCCCCCCGGAATCCACCAACCCTCACTGCCTCGTAACGGTTTTCTTCGATGTACTAGTAAATCAAATGGATAAATGAGCATAACTGTTTTTTCTAAGTATGTTTTTATTGATTTCAGATAAAGGAATGGAGAGGGGAGAGTGAAATTTCAATAATGAGAGAGAATCATGGATCGGCTGCCTCTTGCAAGCCATCCATTGGGGATCAAGCCCCCAACCTGGGCCTGTACCCCAACTGGGAATCAAACTGTGATCTCCTTATTCATGGATCAATGATCAACCACTAAGCCACACGGGCCGGGCAAAATATATATAATACTTTTAAATATTTTTTTTTAATTGGAAACACATGGTCTTGATTGGACCTAGCGCACTAAGGGCCAAGTGACAAAAGTAGTGTAGGGTTGTTTAATTGCCTTCACCCCAAGATTAGGCTCGGGACCAGGCTCTGTCTGGGAATGCCCTACTTGAGGATGGTCAAAATGAAACCAGCCACTAGAAGCCCTTTCTACTCCTCCAGGTGTGCCTCCCTCAGGAAAAGCTCAGCGGCATGAACTCAGTGGCCACATTTGCAGATGTGGGATGCAGGGTCCCCGGAAGTTGTCCAAACTGCCAGCATGTGCACATTGTGAGGGCCTCCCCCACACGCCCTTAGACTGGAGCTTCGGGCACAAAAAAATGTGGATGGCTCTGCAGCCATAGGAGGGAAGGAAAAGCCCCATCCCTACTGCAAGTGCCCTCCAGGGTTGCTGCCCTGTGGGGTAGTGTTCGCAAAAAACCAAATGACAACAGCACCCAGAAGTAGAGGGATGCCCAAGGCAAAGGGGCCTCATCCCTGCCCACAGCCCAGCTGGAGAGCCAGCAGCCCCTGTGCCTGCAGAGCCACGGCGTCCTGGGGAATGGAAAGGCTCCGGGACAGTGGCGCCCAGAGCCCTGTCAGAGGAGAGCGCGGATGAATCAACTTGGTATCTCCCGCGCTGATTAAACAATGAGGCGTCCTGGGGTTCTGCAGTCTGTCCCGATGAGCGCTCATCAGCCTAATGTGCCAACCCGCACAGATCCCGCCGGAGCAAACTGCCTTTTAATTTCTCCCTCTAAAGATTAATTCCGTTGTTTTGGAACCTGCGCTACAAGCACTGTAAACTAATCATTAGTCATTTTCAAGCAATCTGACGTTCCCTGCCACAAATCGTGGAGTGCTTTCCAAGAGGCCTCTTTTGGGGTTCTGGGGATTTGCATCCCTAGGGGTGAGAGAGAAGAGTGGAAAATAAACAATAAGATGTTTGCCTGGCAACTTGGGCAAAGAGGGGCATTCACTGAAAGGGCTTCCTTCTCATGCGAGTGACCTTTTGTGTTTGTTTTTGGATATTTTGAATTTTAGTAGCTGAGGAGGCAAAAGTGAGAGCAATGCTTTTGTCCCAGCACCACTACACCTGCCGCAGGACAGGAGAGGACAGCCAAGAATGGGCTGCCCTCGGGAGCCAGGACCTCACTCAGGCATGGCCTACTCTAGTCAGTGTTCCCTAAGCCTTCTTAGGTAAGTATACTGCTTAGTGTTGTAGGGTAAGGTGATGAGACGTGCCACTTTTGGTGGGGCAGTCCCGATTTTGAACAATTTGTCCTGCTTTTAAGATGCCACGGGATGCGGAACAAATTATTGAAAATCGGGACTATCCCGCCAAAAGCCGGATGTCTGGTCACCTTATCCTAGGGCCATCTAACAAAGTACCATAGAGCAGTCACTAACACAACAGAATGTATTCTTTCACGGCCTGGAGGCAGAAGGCCCAGACACCTTGGTCTGGGCGGGCTCCCTCTGCAGGCGCCAGGGGAGGACCTGTCCAGGCCTCGCCTAGGCTTCTGGTGGTTCCTTGGCTTGTGGCAGCACAACCCCAGTCTTCCCACGGTGTCCCCCTGTGGTCACTTCTCTGTGTCCAAAGTTTCCCTTTAAAGGACTCTAGTCCTTGGAAGGGGACCACTCTACCCCCAGCATGACCTCATCTTGACTAATTACATCTATTGTACATCCACCCTATTTCCAAATAAGGTCACATTCTCAAGTTCTAGGGTTAAGGCTTCAACATATGAGTTTGGGTGGGACCATTTGAAAGCATGCAGTATGATTAGAATGATGAGACAGGAGAGGTGATTCGAGTCCAGAGAGGCTGAATAACACACTCAGTATTCCAGAGCCTCTCGGGGCTAGTGTAGACTCTGAAACAGATTGGGCTTACGTGAAAGGTCAGAGCCTTCTGAAACCCTTTACTTTTCAAAACTCTTAACTTTGCCTCATAAGAAAAAGTCACAGGCAGGCATTGGGGCAGGATATGAGCTGAGTCCAATGCAGAAGAAACATCGCACTTCAGGACCTCGTGTCCCCTGGAGTGGGACCTCTGATGACAAAGGTGAAAGAATTGTGGTGCTCCAGCATCAGCCAACCAACAGAAGCCTTTCTAGTGTTATCTGGTCCCCAATCAAATGTGTCATTTCTTTTTGGGAACCATCCTGTCCTACGATACGTCGTTAACTGGAGTACTAAAATCACTGTGTGTATCTGTGTTTTATTTGTCCCCCACTCTCTCCCTAGGAATTGGAACTATCTTAAGATGTTCCCACAGTCATAAGCATCATGAAATCTAGAAAGCTGCTGCTGACCAAATGATGCCTCAACCAACTGAAAATTAATATTAATCAGAATTCTTTAATAATTCATGTTCCCACTACTGAGAGAGAAACAAGGAATATGGTCTCTAATCTTATTGCCATTTCTGAAAATTTTACCCCAGAAAACTTTTCTACACCCATAGCTAAAAGAAGTTAAGATTATATTAAGAATAATAGTTTGTTGGCTTTCAGTCAACTTTACACGCACGCACGCACACTTTTTCACTTTGCTCAGGGATATTTCAGAGTTTCTGATCAGAGTTCTGAGCCTGGCCTCAGACCCTCTCTATCCACATTCATTCTGATCCTCTTGTACCTACTTCTAGTGCTCTGCTGAGGCTCACCACAGCATGATGTTTTTTCCTCAGCAAGCATCATCTCTTCCACCTCAGAATCACCGCTTCTCCCATGTATTTTGCTTAGAAAACTTTTCCCCTTTCTTCTTGCCAGTCCCAGGGACATCCATCTACTAATACATTTTAAGTATTTAATACAGAGACTAATATTCTTAATAAATAAAGATCTTTTGTAAACCAATAATAAAACACCAGGATACATGAACTAAAAGTATGAAAAGGCAATTCAGGTAAGAAGATTCATGAGAAAGAGGTGGAGGAGGATAAAGAAAAGGAAGAGAGAGAAGAGGGCAAAATAGCTAGGTAGCATGAAACAACACTCAACAGTAATCAAATAAATACTAATGGGTGCTGAATTTTTATCTATCAAAATTATCTAAATGTTCTCAGTGAGTTTTCAGGACAATAGATGCCAGGCTATTCTACTGGTGACAGCATAAACCTGGGTATTGAGGAAGCCATTTAGTAAATACCTTGTTACCCCGAAAATAAGACAGTGTCTTATATTAATTTTTGCTCCCAAAGATGCGCTAGGTCTTATTTTCAGGGTATGTCTTATTTTTCCATGAAGAAGAATACGGTACACATTTATTGTTAAATGAAAATAAAGGAAATTTATTACCTGTATATGGTACGGTAGTACGGTATTTGTCAACACAAATCAGACAAACTGTGAATCCTACAGTATCAAGAATTTACTCATTTATTCAATGACAATCATGTCATCATCTTCTGGAACATCATCATAACAATCCAATTCTTGAATTTCCTGGTGAATTTCTTGTGACTCCATTTCTTTCAGAATCAGTGGACC